TGTGTGAGACATGGCGAGTGTCTGGCTGGCCCCCATGCGTGCCATAACTATGACTTACATTCGTCCTTCCTACCTTGCATTTCCCCACCTATTTCAGGTACATGCATGTTGCATGCTGCGAGTTTGCACTTGTCATGAGCATGTCACATGTCTGTGGAATTGCATGTTACACCTGTCGGGACGCCGCCAGCGCTGTGGGAGTCATATGCCTGTTTTAGATGCTGTTCGGTATGCACTTGGTCAGTGTGGTGTGACACACGCGCGCACATTATCTGCATGTTGTGCATATGAGATTTTAGCACCATGTGCCCTGGGGTGTGTTAATGTTCACTGCCCCAGTACCTGGGTGCTGGAGAAGTTCAGGGCCCCGCCCTTCTAGGAGGTTCTAAAGGAGAGCTCTGGCCTTTCTCCCGGGGTTGGGGGAGTGGGGTTTCTGAGGTGTGGCATCACTCACCCTTCAGGAGGGCCTGCTCCGCGTGGAGGGGTCCGTCCTTAGGGTCTCCATGAGGCAGCTCCTGGGAGAACAGTGGCTGTTAGGAGGGGACTTGGGGGTCTCAGGACAGGGACATGTCAGCACCATCCTGGTCACATGACCACATCCTCTCAGCTGCTGGTCCTTGGCTTGCATGGACCATGTGCAGAGCCTTCCCTACAAAGTTGCTGGCCCTGTGTGCCACCCACGCCCACGGACTGCCCTGTCCATGCTGATAGTGTTGGGAGGGTCCATATCTTCAGAGAGCACAGGGGTCTGACTCCTCCACCATCCCTCCCTTCCCCACTCTGCTCCCCTCCCCTGAGGCCAGGCCTGTTCTGGGCTGGGGTCCCAGCCCCTGGGCCTCCCAACAGCATCCTATCCTGCGGCCTCAGTTCAGCACCAGGCCCTCATCAGCACAGGTCATGCATTGTCCATCCATGTCCACAGGCTGGGCATTGTCCAGTCTGTACCCACAGGTCATGCCTTGTCCATCCCTACCCCAGGCCAGGCACTTGGCCGTCCATGCTCACAGGCCAGGCACTACCCGTGCACACCTCAGGCCGAGCACTTGGCTGTCCACACCCACAGGCCCGCAGCTCAGCAGTCCCACTCCTCTGTCCAGAGCTACCCTGGGAGGCTGTGGCGTCGGCCCAGAGTCCACACCCATGAGCCAGGGCTCTCGCTTCACCCTGTTGGCCTCCCTGCGGGAGAGCTGAAGTACAGACTCATGAGTGGACAGTGGACAGTAACCTGGCAGGAGCTGACCCACCTTGGACGAGGTGTACCACGATTTGAGCCTGTCAGGCCCCCAGGAGCACAAGAAGGGCCTAATGGGACACAGACAGATGTTCCCCAGCACGAGGTCCGTGTGTGGGGTCCGTGTGAGTCAGCGTCCCAGTGTGAGGGGTCTGCCTGTGGGGTCAGCCTCTCAGAGAGTAGGCAGCAGGGGGCAGGCTCCTGTACCCCTCCCTCTCTGTGTGGGGTCAGTGTGCAGGGTCAGCGTGTGGGGTTGGCCTCTTGGAGTGCGGACAGCAGGGCTCTGGCCATCTGTACCCCTCTCCAGCAGTGATGACACGTCGGTGAAGAGCCTGCAGCCTCCCCCCCACCCCCCGCCCCCCGCCTCAGCACCAAGTGCCTGACTCCAGCTGCCTTGACCTCTGCCCTGACCTTGTGCCCTCTGGCCCCTCATGGCTGTATTTGCAGCGGTAGGGTCTTCACAGTTCCAAGGTCCACCTCCCACCAGGAGTTTATCCTGGTCCACTACTCACTGTCCCCACAGCAGTGTGGCCCAGTGTCCCAGCCCAGGGTACCCAGATACATCATACGACCTTACTTCCCAGGATCCCACCCTGCCAGTCATTCCACAGGGGCCCAGGGGGACCCAGGGGCTGCTGTCCACTCTGCTGAGCTGTGATGTGTCCACTACACAGAGGTGAGGCTGTTTTCTGACCAGTACCCAGCTACTCCTGCACTGTCTTATATGGCCCAGAATTCTCCTGCAGGACTGTCCTGTATAACCCAGGATTCCCACCGTGGACTGTCCTGTATGACCCAGGAT